GCACAAATGGTGGGGAGCTAACACGTGGCTGGGTGCCTTCCCCCACACCCTAGGACTTGTCTGCTTCCCTTTGTCCCCAGCGCTCACCTTCACGGGCTTCCTTGGCAGGTACTTTGTGAGCTTCATCCTCCAGTTCCAGTTTCACAAGGCGCTGTGCCAGGCAGCCAACCACAGCGGTCCCCTGCACACCTGTGACATCTACATGTCCAAAGAAGCTGGAGCCAAACTCAGGTGGGGACAGAGGAGGGTCGGGACAATCGCCATGGGCACATGTGTGCGTGGAAGCTGATGGTGTGCAAAGGAAGGAAAGAAGAAAGGAAGGAAGGAAAAGTGGCTGGAGAAATAGCTTTGCAGATGGATGGATGGATGGATGGAAATACATGGAAGCACTGGGGTGGGGTGAGTGGTCCTCACCAGAGTACTGCTGTTGTCCCTGTCATGAGCTCCCACCCAGACAAGAGGTCACTAAAGCACATTTGGTTCCTGTTGATTCCCTGGGTGTTAACAAATGCATGAGTATGTGATGGGGAGTCCTCATTCCCATATGCAGGACAGATGGGAGCTTCAGAAGCAGTTCCCAGGTTCATGTCCCACTCAGGAATAGCATCTTCAACCTTGCGATGCTGAAATACCATCCCCTGGTCTCATGCTGGCTCTTGCTGTCCCGCTTCTCTGCAGGGAAGTGTTGAAAGCTGGGTCTTCCAAGCCATGGCAGGAAATCCTGTTCAACCTCACTGGCACGGATAAGATGGACGCTGGGGCCCTCCTGGAGTACTTCAGCCCTGTCACCAAGTGGCTTCAGGAGCAGAACAACAAGACCAATGAGGTGCTGGGCTGGCCTGAGTTTGACTGGCGTCCCCCTATCCCTGAAGGCTACCCTGAAGGCATTGGTAAGGCTGCAGCTCCATCCTGGCTCTGGGGAGGGGCAGGAAGAGGTCTCCCAAGGGACATCACTAACCCCCAGTGCTGAGGGAGGTCTCTGCTGTGGGTGGGGAAGGTCTGCATGCCAGAAAAGAGAAATAACCATATCCACATGGAGTCCCACAAGCTGTTGCTTCCCAAGAAGCAGGTGCCATTAGCCAACCTCTTGACATATCATTGTCTGAAGCTGTGGCCCTGCCGCTGTAGTAATGCCATCAGGCATGGTGTGACAGGTCATCTGTTTTCAGCTGCATCCTTTCTGCCCAAGTGGGAGGGTCTAGGGCATGCAGCGTGTCCTGTTATCCCATCCCCTGACCAATGGAACACCCCCAGCAGGACCCCTCTCTCCCCATTTCTTGGCTCAACCTGCTCCCAAGTTGTGGCGTCATTCAATGGACTTGCAGTTCTGGGAAAAGCTCAACCACGGCTTCTCCATGGGGTGGTGCTCTTGCAAAGAGAAGGACTCTCCTGACTCCCCTTCTCTTCCCCATTTATCTCCTCCTCTAGACAAAATAGCAGACGAAGCACAAGCTAAAGAGTTCTTGTCCGAGTACAACAGCACAGCTGAGGCAGTGTGGAACGCCTACACCGAGGCATCTTGGGCCTACAACACCAACATCACAGACCACAACAAGGAGATCATGGTATGGGAATGACCTTGGGGCTGTGTGGGGAGAGCCAACAGCCAAGGCAGGCAGCTGGTGTCCAAGGCACGTTTCAGATGAGTTCTGAAAACCAGGGCAGCCTCTGCCCCTAGCCAAGGGGTAATGTTCTCACCCAGGAGGTGTCTTTTCCATGAAAACCCTTGTCATGCCACGAGGTAGCCACAAGGGCAGCCACGGGGAGGTTGTCAGTCATGGCATGCCAGATGGTGTTTCTAGTGATGGCCTGTGTCTCAGGGATCTCCTCGAAGTAACTCCTCTTCTGTCCCCTCCTGCCCTTGCAGCTGGAGAAGAACTTGGCCATGTCCAAGCACACCCTTGACTATGGCATGAGGGCCAGGCAGTTCGACCCCTCTGACTTCCAGGACCAAAGTGTCACGCGCATCCTCAGGAAGCTGAGTGTCATTGAGAGGGCAGCCCTGCCCGAGAATGAGCTGAAGGAGGTGAGCTGCAAGGGGACAGAGCAGGATGGGGTGTCCCTTGCCACTACCTTGTGTGGAGACATAGGCTTCTCCCAACTTCTAGGAAATACCACTGGGCAGCCACCCCTTCCCCTGAACAAGGTGACAGTTTGATACCTTCTACACAAAGCCGTGATCCTTGTCTCCAGGATTTCTCGCCCAAAGGTTGCCTATCCCAGGCTGCAGTGGGACCTGGCTGCTTAGGTGGCAATGGCACATTGCTTGCTGGCCCTAGTCCCTCTGTATTGATGCCACTTCGCCTCCATTTGGGGTCACACTTGGCCTTGGAAGGGACCAGAGGAAAACACCTGGGGACATCTCAATGGGCTGTGACATTCTCCAAGAGCAGAAGCAAGGATAATCAGCTCATATGATCTGATTTTCTTTGCAGTACAACACCCTCCTCTCAGATATGGAGACCACGTACAGTGTAGCCAAGGTCTGCAGAGAGAACAAAATCTGTCACCCCCTGGATCCTGGTAAGATCTGGCAGGGAGTCCAGTGAGTCACCTGCAACAGGCCCAGAAAGGAGGGATTTTTAATAGGGGCATGGAGAAAGGTCATGAAGGGGCCTTCCCACCTTCTCTGTGATGGACCCTGAGCAGCACGTTGGGTCTAGCACGATTGCATCAGTCCAGCCCATCCAACAGCATCACTTTGGCTTCATTGTTCTCTCTTCAGACCTCACAGACATCATGGCCACCTCACGGGATTATGATGAGCTTCTCTTTGCCTGGAAGGGCTGGCGGGATGCTTCTGGGAAGAAGATCAAGAACAACTACAAGCGATATGTGGAACTGAGCAACAAGGCAGCTGTGCTCAATGGTCAGTGTCCCGCTCCCTTACAAACCCACCATGGCCTTAGCACCCTGTAAGCAGAGGATTGGGCTGATCGTCCAACTCAGGGCCAAAATCTTGAAGGTGTGGAGGTCCCACCAACTCCCATGAGCTCCACTGTCTCATAGATACGGAGACACCTGGGGTGTCTGAGCAGCAAGACAGACTCTTGCCCAAGAAGGACAGTGTCTAGCAGCTTCTACTCTCTCCCTACCACAGGCTACACAGACAATGGGGCCTTCTGGAGATCCCTGTATGAGACACCCACCTTCGAGGAAGATCTGGAGAAGTTGTACCTGCAGCTGCAGCCCCTGTACCTCAACCTGCATGCCTACGTACGCCGAGCCCTATACAAAAAGTATGGTGCAGAGCACATAAACCTGAAGGGTCCCATACCTGCTCACCTGCTAGGTAAGGGCTTTGCTAGGCCCTCGAGCAGAACTGTGTCTCCCACCAGGCATAGTTTGCTCCAAGAGTTGAGGCTGGTCTCTGTTCAGCTCTGGCTGAAGGACTAAGGCCCCATGAGATGGGTCTGCAGAAGCCAGCCTGCTTCAGGGAAAGGCAACACACTTAGCATGACTTGACTTCTCCTGCATGGACAGGCTCCTGCTTGCACCACCCTTGTGCAGGCAGGGCAGGGACCAGGCAGGGTGATCCACTCTGTGCAGGAGTTGGGAGTAACTGGTTGCCTTTGCTCTTCTCTCCCTGTATCCCTCCTGCCATGCATTGTCCGCCTGTGCTTCCCAGGCAACATGTGGGCCCAGTCATGGTCCAACATTTTCGACCTGGTGATACCTTTCCCGGATGCCACCAAGGTGGATGCCACCCCGGCCATGAAACAACAGGTCAGTGCTTTTTCAGGCTGCTCTGGGGAAGCCCCTTGGGACCCAGCACCCTTTGGCCGTTACCACCACCCATGTTGCCAAATGCTCTGGTGCTGCCAAAAACCTCCATGGCTCATCCGTATTCTCTCCCCACCTGGATATGCCAAGGGCTGGATCCAGCTCTAGCTGCCCCCAAAAGGCCTCCCCTGCCCAGAGGAACAAGGCTGTCCCTGGCCTCCCATCTTTCCAAGCCCCCGGCACACCTAGCATCCCCCATTGCCCCTTACCAGGTCTTCTGTCTGCTTTCTCCCCAGGGCTGGACACCCAAGAAAATGTTTGAAGAGTCAGACCGTTTCTTTACCTCTCTGGGCCTCATCCCAATGCCGCAGGAGTTCTGGGACAAGTCCATGATGGAGAAGCCGGCAGACGGGCGGGAGGTGGTGTGTCACGCCTCAGCCTGGGACTTCTACAACCGCAAGGACTTCAGGTGCCTGTGGGGAGCAAGTGGTGGCCTCAGCTGATGTGGTGCTGGGGCTGATAGCAATGTCTTGGTAGAATAAGGGCACGTGGCCTGATGCCACCACAGTGTCTGTTGTCCTATGGCTGTGGCAGCCCCATTCTGGCACTGCCACTGGTACCCAAGATGCAGGCATTGCTGGCAGGAGTCCCCATGGTGGATGGAGGGCAATCAGTGCCTTCCCTGCCCTGCCATGGAGAATGGAAAAGCTGATGAACAAGGACAGGGAATGGGCAGGGGCAGCAGGAGACGCAGGAGAAAAGAGAGAGACCAACCCAATGGAGTAGGACCAGCCCAGCCTGGCATCAGATGTGGGATGGGGGCACGTGGAAAGGGAGACCAAAGGGAAAAATAGCTCAAGGGGGTGTGATCGTTCCCGGAGATTTTCACCCCAGCACTGCCCTCCCTTCTCCCCCCATCCCACATGTCCTGGTCCAGGATCAAGCAGTGCACCACGGTGAACATGGACGACCTAATCACGGTGCACCACGAGATGGGCCATGTCCAGTACTTCCTGCAGTACATGGACCAGCCCATCTCATTCCGCGATGGGGCCAATCCTGGCTTCCATGAAGCCATCGGGGATGTCATGGCCTTGTCCGTCTCCACCCCCAAACACCTGCACAGGATCAATCTGCTGGACCAAGTCACAGACAACAAAGGTGAGCTGGCAGGGGAGCACCACACAGCAAAGATGGGGGGGCTGCTGAGAACAGCTGGAAATGCAGAGGGTCAGGATGGGCTGGGAAGGGTGGAAGGGGTCAGGGACATGCACAGTGTCTTTGCATGCATGGAGGGGACAGGACCTGGTGGGGACACCCTGCTCTTGGGCAGAATGACCCATACGGGGTGGAGAAGTGGGTACGGTACTGTCTTGCTCACACCTTCACACCTTGGGCAGAAAGTGACATTAACTACCTGATGAGCATCGCCCTGGACAAAATCGCCTTCCTGCCCTTCGGATACCTCATGGACCAGTGGCGCTGGAAGGTGTTTGATGGGCGGATCAAGGAGGATGAGTTCAACCAGCAGTGGTGGAATCTCAGGTGTGCTTGAATTCAGGCTCCTCTTTGGTGTAAGGGCCTTGGCCATCATCCCGCTGGGTGTTTTCTCCCTGTGGTCCAGTTGGCTGCAATGGGACACGATGGGATACATAACCCCTCACCCTGTCCTCACATCCCCTGTGTCCCCTCCCAGCTTACCCCACCTTCTATTCCCCCTGCTGGGCTAACTCTCCTTCTCTGGCCCAGGATGAAGTACCAGGGCTTGTGCCCACCAGCACCAAGGTCTGAAGATGACTTTGACCCTGGGGCAAAGTTTCACATCCCTGCCAACGTCCCCTACATCAGGTGAGTAAGCAGGGGTGGGGCAGGAGGAATGCCACTTGGACACAGAAGCAGGATCTCCAGTTCAGATGCCAGTAATGGCACCTTGTTTCATGGCTGGTGGGGTACTTAGTGGTACCATCCTGAGGGTGCTGGGAAGCTCTGAGGACCCTGACAGAGCTTCAGAGAAGGCTGGATTTGGGGGAATTTCTCCCTCTCTGAGGAGGATGGGGTCATCCACCCAGGCAGCCATAAAACACACATTAAAGGAGAAATGGCATCAGCAGATTGGACTGAGTTGATGCAGGTGTAGCTCCAAAGCCAGTGATGCTCCTCCAGAATAGGAGAGTGCAAGCAGGGGATGAGGGGGACCACATCCTCCCTTCCACAGCCCCTAGTAGGGTCCATTCCCATGTCCTCACCCCTCTCCACCCCCCCAGGTACTTCGTCAGCTTTGTGATCCAGTTCCAGTTCCACCAGGCGCTCTGTGCGGCAGCCAGGCACACGGGTCCCCTGCACAAGTGTGACATCTACGAGTCTAAGGAAGCTGGGAGGATCTTGGGGTAGGTGTGTGGGCAGGGCAGAGCCAAGATATTTATGTCCCCAAATACCTTAAACCAGCTCAGCAAGACAGGAGGCAACGCAGCCCCTGGTCATCCATCCCCTCTCTGCCCTAGCATGGGATGCTCTGGTCCCTGGCCCTGGGGTGCGGGCAGGGGGAACCCCGGGTAGGGGCACCTTGGGCTGGGTGCTAGGGCTGTGATTGCAAAAGCAGCCACTAGATGGTAGCTGGGACCCTGGCAGGTGGAAGGCTCCCTCCCTCCTCCTCCTCCGCCGCCCCCAGTTACTTAGGGAAAACAACCCCCTTGCTTCAAGAAAAGCACCTGCAAAATTAACCTTTGCACCCAGAAACTGCTCTGCATCAGGCTGGATTCACCGGAGGGCTTTAATCCATGTATACCCCCCCTTTCCTCCAAGCAAAACCTCCTTCCCTGTGCTCTGGGCTCGCAGCCCTGCGGTGCTGGGGGCACAGACTGTACCCAGGGTTGCTGATACAAAGAGCCCCAAGCCCTGGGGAAAAGGAAAGGGCTGCTGGCCGAGAGGGCGATGGGGAACCCACTGGAGCTGATTTCTCCTGCCACAGGGAGGCCCTGAAGCTGGGTTTCAGCAAGCCGTGGCCCGAAGCCATGGAGCTCATCACGGGGCAGCGCAACATGTCAGCTGATGCCCTGATGAGCTACTTTGAGCCACTCATGACATGGCTGGTGAAGGAGAACAACAAGAACGGGGAGGTCCTGGGCTGGCCCGAGTACAGCTGGACTCCTTACACAGGTATGCAGGGCTCAGCCAAGCACAGCAGGTCCATGATGGGGCAGAGCTCAGCCCTCACCAGGGCCAGGATGGGGCATGTGGGAGAGATGGAGCTGTCTTGATGCCCCTTGGCCACCCCAAAAACCACAGGGTGTTTGGGTGCTTCTCCTTGATTTCCCACGGAGCTGAGTCTAAAGGGGACACGGCCTCCAAGAGACCAGCAAAGGGAGAGCTGGTGACCCAACACACCCCAGTCCAGAGCCACCGGTACCAACCATGTCCCTTATTCCTCCATTTTCCAGCCACTCCAGCCCAACCCAGCTCCAGCCAAACCGATTTCCTGGGCATGTCTCTGACCAACAATCAAGCCACAGCAGGCAGCTGGGTCCTGCTTGCCCTGGCACTCGTCTTCCTGATCACCACCATCTTCTTGGGCGTCAAGTTCTTCTCAGCCAGGAGAAAGGCCTTCAAATCCAGCTCAGAAATGGAACTGAAATAAGGCAGCCATCAGCGGGGGAGCATGGACAGGGTGCAAGCATGGGTATTTGGGCAGGCTGGCAGCGATGCAATGGGCACATTTGCCAGCGAAGCCATGGGTTTCCACAGCCCAGGACTTCTCTCTCCAATCAGGTCAGACTTTTTTTTCCACTATGCAAGAGCCAAAGCAGAAAAGAGCTATTTATTTGTCAATGCCTGCATCAGGGGAAGAGAAATTCAGGCACCGGCGCGCACGGAGCTGCCACGGGCTGCCCCTGCACCCAGGGCTGGGAACCAGTCCAGCCTGGGCACCCACCAGCCATCTCCAACCTGCGGGCAAAGCTACAGGGACTTCAAGTGACAGAGGGCAGTTTGGGGAGGGATGGAGCACGTTCCCACTCCCCCACCCACTGCTGTTCGCTTGCATGAATGAAAAATAAACCCATGTCTTGTCACCCCCAGAGCAGCAGCTTGGCTTCCTCTTGCAGGTGGGCTCGGATCTCAGTGGGACAGGGCTTTCGAGCAGGAGAGCTGCCACCCTAAGCCAGTGCAATTACAAACCCCTGGGGCCCAGCCTGGCTTTGGGGCAACACACCTGCAGCACCCAACCTCCCCTATCCCCATCATGAAAGCTCAGCATCCCCTTGCAGCATCCCCATCCTCCCCTAAACTGTGGGTCCCATCGCAGCCGTCAGCTTGTGGGTTCACCATGGAGCATGTGCCTAAGGAAGGGGCTGGATCAGGGCCAGAAATCCCCAAAGTCCAGGCCTGAACTGTTCAAAGGATTGGGGGGGGGCCACCAAGCCCAAGCTGGGACAGGGCTGGAGCTCACGGCTGCTGTGGTTCCAGTATGGGAATGACATGCATTTACGTAAGAGCCGGGGGGAGGGTCTGAGGTCAGCGATCGCCTCACATCCTCCAGCTCCCGATTATCTTGGGATCAGCTGTGCTTGAGGCTTTCCCCCCCCTCCCCCCATCTTTCTTCTGGTTCTGTAAATAAAACTTCGTATTTTTTCTGCAGTGATTAGGTGCAAAACTAATCCCAGACTGGGGATTATTGCAGCCCGGAGCAGCAGGGGAAATGAGGGAATCTGGGGTGATCCACCCTTCCCCCTCCCATCTGATGGCCTATGCCCTCGGTCATGTCTTACATGGGGAAACTGAGGCCCAGGAGAGGCTCATTGCGCCTGGGAGAGGAGCAGAAGGCAGGTGTCTGCCTGCCCACGCTTGGGTTTTTGTTTGTTTTCAAACCTCCTCCGAGCACAGCACGCCCACGGGAGGTGAAACCCCGACCACCCGTCTTTCTGCCGCGATCCCCAGACCCAGGGAGCAGCCGCCCCGGATGCCTGCGCTCACCCCATGTTCTTCCCATGGCTGTATCCTGATGCGTCTGTTTTATATCCCAGCACACTGGGCACCCTCCTCTCCCCCCGGCCTGGCAGTGTGATGCTTGCAGAGCAGAGACCTGGCACGGTGAGAGCTGGGTTTGAAGCCAAGTGTATTTTCAGCCTGGGAAAGCAGGCTGGTGCAGGTGTGCTCCATCCAACTTAGCTCCTCACCAGTAATTTTGAGCCCCCTGGCTCCTTTCTACCCCATCAGCGGAGGAAAAGAGGTCTCTAAGATCATCAAGATCCTACAAGTTTCATGAAAATTGCTTTCTGGAGGGAAAAAAACCAACAACAAAAAAAGAGCCACACTGAACACTCTCATTCAGGGACTGCAACACAAGCTCAGCCCTAATTAGACATCAGAGAATCCACATAGGAGCTGACTCTGTCCTGGAACGGACACTGCTACGAGGGTGAGTGATGGGTGCACTGAGCTGTGCCTCCTGCTCAGAGATGGATAGACAACCCAAGCCCACAGTCCATCCAGAAGACAGGGCTGGACACCAGGCTACCTTCAACACAGGTCCAAGATTCCACCCAGGAGATGGGGCTGGACACAAGGTTATGCCCAGCCCAGCTCAGGGGGAGACTGAACTCCCACCTTGAGCTTAAATGGAGCTGCTGGGCCGTGGGTAGAGGGGCCCAGGTGAAGCTTTTCAGGGCAATGAAGGCCCACTGGTGGCCAGAGGGCTCTGCCAAGCCGGCAGCAATGTTTTACAAGGTACCTTTAAAATGAGGATGATTTTCCTTCCCCATTGCGATAACATCTGGAGAGATTTTGCTGCCTTCTGGCTCCTGCATCATGCTTTCTGCTGAAATTAGGAGGCTTAGTGAAATTACTCCCTAAGGAGAAAAAAATAAAAAGGAAAAAAAAAGGAAAAGAGCAGAAAAAAGAGGAGATTCCCCCTCAATTCATGTAACTCCTCAAAGGGGAGCTCAGGAAGTAGTGGGTACCCCAGGCTTGTGGGGGGCTGCCCTGCACCCCCCTGCCTGTGCACAAGGCTCCCAGAGAGGAGATTTGCTTTAAAACGACATGAATTTAAAGCAAGAAACACCCTGGGTTCCCTTTGCCAGCTCAGGGACCCTTTGAGCTATGCAGAAACCCATTTTCCATTTTTTTTGGT